ATTGTTACTCTGTACTAATTGCCCTTGAGAAAGGGGCGTTAAGATTCACTCTTGAAAAATCACACACTAATCACTCTGGTACTTAGGAGAAAATTTGAAGAAAATGACCAGAATTTATTTTTCATCTTTTAAAAATAGACTATATTATTCAAGGTTATGGATAAAGAATGGCAGTGCTGGAAAATTGATTTGCGACAACCAGTATAAACATCACATTCTTCCAGCTCATGTACAACATAGCTAAATGCAGAACAATACTTGCCTACTTTGCCTCAACAAAATTTGCCTCAAACCTAAAGGACAACCACTTGCTACATTAAGTGACATTCTTCTAATTTCCTGTAACCACATCCTTTGACTTGTCACTGCCAAATCTGTTGCAGTTTAGTGCCATAGCCTACGTGTACAAGATTGTGGTGGACATGAGCCTACAGCACAACACTACATTTAAGTATTCATTGATTGAGCTGGTGTGAACCCCGTGGATTAAAGATGCCACTCTGATGCAATAGGAGGTGATCCCTGACCTTATGGCTGCCTACCTGTTGGGCAGTAGATGTAGTGATGCTGTACGTTTGAAAACAATAATTATGACATGCTCACAGTTCCAAAAATGGACGTGTTTGAGGAAATCTGAATTGAAATAGGTACATCTGTCAAAGCATGTGGAATTTATAAACAGAAAGGTAGGCTTCTCATTGCTATTGTCATTTATGCCTATTGGTTCCTTAACCAGACTAATTTTTGTTGCAGACAAGAAGCACTGCTGGCAGCCATCAGTGAGAAGGATGCAAACATTGCCTTATTAGAATTGTCTGCCTCTAAAAAGAAAAAGACACAAGATGAAGTAATAGCTCTTAAACGTGAAAAGGACCGACTAGTACAACAGTTGAAACAGCAGGCAAGTTCCACTGTGTTTGGTGTTATGCTAAGCCATTCTACAAAAAAAACAAAAATACCCATAACAATACTACACTTTTACTACAGTCATCATTCAGTAAATTCTACGAATCATGAATTCATTTTGTAGAATTCACAATTTTTTGGATAAAATTTGCACTGAATAATTAAAATATAGGGGAGTTTCTCAAACATTAATATATACTGAATATGTATCGATGTGTTGAAATACGGAAGAACAATGTGGTGAGGGGAAAAAAAATAACTGTCCTGTAAAAGAAGCCTTACTAATTTTTTTAGTAGATTATGTTTTGAATTCTTTCGCTTTAATAAAAATTAGAGTTAATGAAGGCTGTTCAGATCATAAAGTCTTGCCACAACTCTTCAAAGAATCCAACAGATCTAAGTGAGACAAATAGTCCATGAATGCTTCACTATGGTTCACTTAGAAGAGTTTGTTAATACACATACAGTTGACCAGAGTGTAAAATTTTGTTACGGACCAAAATTTTAATTGGCCTATTGTTTGTGCAAATGTGTCCAAAATACTCAGCAGGTCAGGCTGGAGAGAAAGCATCTGACCAACCTGAAATGTTAGTTTTGTTTGTCTCCCTATAGGTAGTGCCTAATTTACTGGGTATTTCTGGTATTTTCCTTTCTCATTTCAGATTTGCAAAATCTGCACTAATTTTGCTCTTAGACTGGTTGCAGGCAGTTGTGTTAGTGCTCCACTTCTGCAGAATCTTTCCATTTGGTCTAATTTCTAAGATCATTTGAAAGTTACAGCTTTAATCTTGAAAACTTGGAGAGCATTTATTTATTCACATTTCAAAATCTATCTGGGCCTTACTTAATGCGTTTGTGAAATTTAATTCTGCATATGAATTTTTCTGAAAATAGAAGTGTAAAACTACACCCTAGAATATAGTGTCATAGGGTTATAATTTCAGCCATTGATGGGAATAAAACCAGAAAAATTTGCAATTGCAAAGGCCTGTCAGTGTTTGAAGGAGAAATGTGAGTTAATGTTTTGGGTGCTCCCTAAAAGAACAAAATGGCCACGATAATGTTTATTTTGCAGCCTATATTTCCTAGTTTAGCCAGCTTCAATTTCAAGTTTTCCTTCCATACCACATTCAAATATTTATCAAGATTCTCCACCTGACAGTGCTTTCCACAATTTCACTAGGATTCCATGAATTCATGAGAATGTTGCTGGTATGCTAAGAGGTTCCAGCAGTATCAACCATCTGCTCAGTCATTTCTGTTCACTTCTGGTTTTGATGTCTAAGTTACGATGCTGCCTCTTAGCACATAATCCAGAGGTGAGCCATTACATGAAGTTCGTTTTTAACATTTGTCACTTGTAATGACTTGTCACTCTCCTGATCAAATCACCATTTGGATGAATTTCCTATTTGCGCAAGTATGGTTGGCACAGCTGAAATGAACAGCAAATATCGGGTACAAAGATAAGATTAGCAGTACTTTTCTCTGTGTTTCACAAACAAGCAAGATTTTTTGTACCTTGTTGAGCACAGCTCTGCAGTAGGTAAAGAATATAACAACTCACTGGAATTCTCACTGGAATTCCCATAGCATCGGCAATAAAATCCACCTTTGCCAATTTGATGTGGAATGACTTTTTCTTCTGCTTTCTATAGTTTTTTCACTAATTTAAAATGTGCAATATTAGCATGTGTTTCTCTTGCTTAGAATGGTGGATTTTTTTTAAACTTTGACCTCCTGAAAACTACCCTAACTGGTACATTTTCACATCCCATAGTAACCTGTTAAAGAGGAAGGATAAACATCACAAAAGTCTAGCCATCCTGTAACAAACTAGATTACCAACATAGACATGTTAGAAAATAGAATGTATGCCTACAGCATTTTGTTGCTAATGTATAAATCTGCTTCCTAACATTTGTACTACTCACTGCACTGCTGTTTTCTTTCTAGCTAAGATCAATTAACATTAGTCCCTTGTATTCTAAATCATAAAGTGCAATCCTTCATGAACTGGAAGGACTTGCTTGCAGCAATCTGTTGAACATAGCACAAGATGAACTGTCATTTAAGAGTTAGGAATACTAGAACAGTTCATCAGCAATCAAATTCTTATTCTCTCATTCTTCTACCATACTTAATTGAAGATCTCCCTGCTGAAAATATACTGCCACACTAACCTGGCCCTGGTCTGTTCCACTGACTCCAATATTGCTGCTCCTTCGTTACATCAAAGTTATTTTTGCTTTGCCATTTATTTTACAGACTTAGACGCGTATGAAACACTGTAAAACAGCCAGAGATTCTGGGCTAGAGCATTACCAACTGACTAAAACAGTTCTCAAGAAGAATCATATCGATTTTGAAATGTTAACTCTGTTTCTTTCTCCACAGATGCTGCCAAACATGTTGAGTTTCTCCAGTGATTTTTATGTTTGTTTCAAATGTCCAGTATGTGCAGTACTTTGCTTTTATTCAAGTTGTGGTATAGTTTAATTTTGTTTTATTTCCCCAAAACCTTTTTGTTAGATTTCCTCCGTTGATTTTACTGTGGAAAGTATCAGGTACTTCTATCACTGTAGGTGAAAATTAGAAACAAAAACATGAATTTCCGGAAAGTCTCAGCAGACCTAGCAGCATCTGTGAAGAGAAATCAGAATTAACATTTCAGGTCCAGTGACCCTTCTTCAGAACTGATGGTAGCTGTGAAAACGTTCTTTTTATGCAATAGATATAGTGGGGGAGGGTTTAAGGAGTAAACGAAGGTGGAGATGGAGCCCAAAGAGAGAGAAGAACAGTTGGACAGACAAAAGAGTGGATAACAGTCAGCCCAGGAGAGTGAGTGGCTGCCAATGGGGCCTATTAGTGCCTAACAATGGGTAGTGTGTAATAGCAGATTACCAGACCAAGGCCTGGTATTTGGGGGTTGTGGTAAGGACATGGGAGAAGGTACCTTAAGCCCTAAAATTGCTCAACTCAATATTGAGTCCGGAAGGCTGTAGAGTTTCCAAGCGGAAAATGAGATGCTGTTTTTCCATTTTGCACTGAGCTTTTTTGGAGCACTGCAGCAGGCCTGAGACAGAGATGTTGGCCAGGAAACACAATTGTGTGTTGAAGTGGCAGGCAACCAAAAGCTTAGCATCTTTTTTGCAGACAGAAAGTTGATGTTATGACCATTTCAAATTGACTAATATTTTTTACTGAGCTTTTTGTTTTATTTTCTTTTATGTAATAAAAGGAGGCCTGTATTGAGGCCACTGCCATGGAAATCTCAAAGAGAGAGCTGCAAATTGGAAGTGCCCACTTTTCCTTAGTCAGCAGGGAGGTCCGCTGGATTTTAATAGGATCTAGACCACAGCAGCCAAGCTCACATCTCTGAGTCAGAAATTTAGATGCTGAAGTTGCCATGGCAGCTACAAATTATTTAAATGCCCCATTTCCAGTCTAAGTGCTATGCCTGTGAGGAAGCTGGTCACATTGGCTGATGGGCAAGAAATGCTGGCCAGCCAGCAATGCCAGCATCTCACAAATGAATAGGAAAAAAAGTTCAAATGGAGATGCTCTAGTATGTGCTAAAGCTGCAGATCCCAGCTGCATACCAGGTTGTGATCATGGTAGAGCAAAATCTAGTTTGGAAGTCAGGAGGTCCTCAAATGTGCATAAGATAGTTATGGAAACAGAGGTGAATATTGTCAAGCAGGAATATCAAGAGTTGTATGAAAATAAAGCACGTGTGAGATGATAGCAATAGAACTGAAGATATAAGCTAGTGCCCAGACTTGAAATGAAAGTCACAGTTTCAACCTCACATCACCTTATTCACAATTGGTGTGAAACTGACTAGTTATTTCAATAAAAGTATTTTACTGTTAGACTGCAATAGGGTGAATTACCATGATGTATCCTTTTCATTGCTACTGGTGGTAATAGGAGAAACAAAATCCCAACTGATGGAAATGAATTGGTTTAAGAATATGTAGTTAATCTAGGGTGAACTGTCTGACTTTGAAAAGAGAGAGTAAGCAAAGTCATTTCTGAACAATAAGAACTGAATTTCAATAAAAATTATTAAATCACAAAGCTGAAGTCAAGATAAAGGACAACATGCACTTGACATTTTGCAACGTTAGTCCTGTGCCTAATGCACAGTTAGACACAGTGAGTAGGGAGTGAATAGATTAGAAACAACAGGGACAATTAAGAATTTGGGCCCCACCCACTCCAACGGTTTAAAAAAGAGGCATCTGTTTGGATTTGTGGGAATTATAAGCAAATGGTAAATAAGGTGATCAGGATTGATATTTAACCACTGGAAGCCAGTGAAGTTTGGTTGTCTAATTTAACCGGTGGAAAGGTCTTCAGTAAAGTAGATTTAACCAGCAAGAGGAAGGAGTGCTTTACTGTTGTGGAGAATGGTTATATGAAAGGTTACCATTTGAATATCTACTGTTCCCACATTTTTCAAGAGTATTATGGATCACATACAAAATGGTATGAAGGGAGCATGTGGATTCTTAGATGATACATTAATTAGCAGGAGGACCGAGAAAGAACACATTGCAAGGTTGAATTAAGTCTTAGAATGACTTCAACAATAATATTTTAAAGCTAAAAAGTCTTGTATCACGGAGCCTGATTTTCCGGACTTCACCATACCTTTTAGAATGGTGGGGAAGAGACAAAAATTCAGTTTCTGATCGTGAATTAAAGTTTTGTTATTACATTTTCAAAACCTTTTCAAATAGGTTGGCATTCCTAACCTGGAATACACTTGTGCATTCGTTAGAATGTCATAAAGACTTGTTACCACCCCAGTTCACTGGAATAACATTCACAAGCACAAACTTACTTGCCTAAAACCGAAAACTTGTATTCACAAACCTAACGATATGTATGATGAGGGGTGTACCTGGCAGGGGAGACTTTGTCCTCCAGGCTCCTGTGAGTACGAAGTTGTTCAGTTGCTTAGCCCCTTAACCATTAAGGCATTCTTTGTTTACCGTTTTTGGGGGGTGAAACCTGTTCATGTTGATCAGCTTGTGAGATGTCTCAATCATATACAATCTGCCAAGTTGTTGTTAAATGCGTGCAGCACTGGGGGTGAAGTCTGTCAAGGGTTCTAACACCAGCCAAACCACTTGAGCAATGCAGCCGTAATGGCTGATGCCAGCACATCAGACCAGGACAGACAGTTGAGTCTGAACTCCAAATGAGTGCAAGTCTTTAATGAAAAGCTTTTAGCTGTGCAGGTTCGCTTAATTGTAATGAAAGGTCAGTAACCTTCTAGTGTGTGAACTTCTGAGCCTAGCAGATGTATGAGAGGTAATACCGTGACAGTGCCAGAGTGCTAAATTGGTAGTTGCAACAAAGTGACAGGCATTAACTGCACATGAGATAACTGATGGAGATGCTGAAGTTCAGTCTCCTGAGTCACATTCCCTGCAGTGGCAACCTTACAATGCTAACTCACATTTGTAAGGGCATGAAGCATTGAGGAGAAAGTTGTGTGTACCCTGGCAGAGTACAGTAGATCGTTTATCGTCTTGCAGCATTAGAGCCAGGTTCCCTTGTGATACCTGATGGACACTGACCAATGCAGCCTTGTCTATTCAGGTTGCATTAATATCAGGCAGAACGCCTTTTAGTTGTCATATGTAGGCAAAAGAACTTCTCTTGTCTCCCGGGCTCTCTTCACAAGTACATTTAGAGAGGTATCGCTAAAGAGTAGTGTCATTTATTAACGGGGTGTGGCAATTTCGGGGTGGGAGGTGAGATGAGCAGAGGTTGAGTGATGTTTCCTGGGATGCAAAAAGTGAGCTGTAATCTGGGTGCCTTTTAAATATGGAACATGGATGTTAGCACCCAATGAACTTTAGAACTTGCTGCCAATCAAATTTGGTGTTTTTGCCTTGCATCTATATATAATAATATGCACAATTAAATGTAATTGTGTCAGAAAGCCTGACCCATTCCCTGTGGAAGTCCCTCTGATGAGCAGGACTGTGTCCATGTTGCCCAAAGTATCAGGGTACAATGTATCCAGGTCACCAAATTCGTAATGAAGGCATCCATCCATCAGGAGAAAGTTGAGGGGATTTTGAAAATAAAGAGGAACCGAGAACATTTGTGGGGACTATTATGTATGATTCAAAGTTCAGCCTGACTTAGTGAATGTATTGACTCCACTATATTAGCTTTTCATACATTGGACATATTGTGTGGAGTGTCAGAAAGCATTTGAAGAAGTGAAGAAAATTGTGACTAATGGTTCTGTTTAGCCCTGCTCCCAAGAAATAAATATAATCCAAGAAATAAACCACAGGAGTCATCTCATAATGGGAAAACTATGCAAAGCCTGTAGCTTATGTTTCACATTATTTTTTTATATCAAAGCCAGGCATTAGTAATCATATATGATGTTAATGAGTTTGACAAATGCTTATGAAGCACTTTACTTACTTACTAGTGTTGTGAATGTGACACAACTAATTAATGACCTCACCAGAAAGGCACTTTCGGGTAGCAGCATTCATAACATAATTTAATTTTGCATTGAGTTTGAAAGGGAGAAGACTGGGTCGAAGACTATTACTTTCAACTTAAATAAGGGCAATTATGTTAACATGAAAGCTGAGCCAGCTGAAGGTGAAATTCAATATTGGGCTGGGAGTTGAATCAATGCAGAATCTGTGGCAGATATTTGAAGGGATATTTCAAAATATTCAGAATAAGTAAAATCCTACCAATAAGAAAACTTCCAAGGAGGACCTATAGTCTGTGGCTATGCAAAATAAGTTGCAGAAAGCATCAAATTTAAGGGAAAGAAAAGGGTGTATCATTGCACAAAGATGAGTGGTAATCCAGGTCATTGGTTAGACTGCAAAGAATAGCAGAGAATGACTAAAACATTTGATGGAATAAATAAATTAGAGGATAAGAGGAAGTTAGCTAGAAATGCAAAAACAGAAAGCAAAAGTTTCTATTTGTGTCCAAAAGGGAAAAGAGTGAATATTGGTCCTCTCAAAGGTAAGAATGGAGAGCTATTTGTAAATAATAAAGAACTGGCATATATAACAAAAATATTTTGCTTCACCCTAGAGGATGCTAAAAACATCCCAGTAATAGCTTTAAATCAGGAAGTTGAAGGAAGAGAGAAATTTGGTGAAATGATAATCACTAGAGAAGTGGCACACTAATGGAGCTGTAGGTTGATAAGTCTTTAGGTCCAGATGGACTTCATCCTAGTGTCTTAAAAGATTTAGCTAATTATGTAATTGATGCATTGGTATTAAGTTTCCAGAATTCGTAATATCCTCAAAAGGTCGCATCAGACTAGAAAGTATCAAATATGACTCTTTAATTCAAGAAAGGGAAGGGGCAGAAAACAAAGACACTGTAAGCCCGTTAGCTTGGATCTGTCATGGGGCAGCAGTACTAGAATCAATCATTAAGTAGGTTATAATTGGGCACGTGAAGTGTTAATGTGGTTTTGTGAAAGGGAAATACTATTTAACCAACTTATTACAATTCTTTGAACGAATAACATGCGCTGTAAATTGATTTCCAGAGCTGCCTCATAAAAGATCACTGTTCAAAATAGGAGCTCATGGCATAAGGGATAAGATACTAGCTGACTGGTGGAAAACAGATGGTATGCAAAAATGAGTCTTTGGATCTTTTTCAGATGGTCAGGATGTGATGATTAGGGTCCCATGCTGTACTATGGCCTCAACCTTTCTATGATTTATATTCATGACTTAGATGAGGAGGGCGAAGGTATGGTATTTAAATTTACAGATGACCCAAAGATAGGTAAAAAGTATGTTGTGAAGGTGACATAACAAGGATGCAGACCAAATTAAATGGGTATGCAAAAATCTTGTCAGATGGAATATAATGTAGAAAATGAGAAGTTGTTTATTTTGGCAGGCAGAATTAGTATTATTTAAACAGAGAACTGTTGCAGAATTTTGGTCTGCAGAGGGATCTAGGTGTTCTAGTACATTTGTCACAAAATTTTGTATGCAGGCACAGTAAGTAAAAAGGCTAGTGGGATGCTATCCTTTATTATGAGAGGAATTGGGCAGAAAAATAAGGTGGTGTGACCATCTTCAAATCTGAGCAGTTTTCACCTCCTTATGTAAGGAATAATGTAAATGAGTTGGTAGACGTTCAGGGGAAGTTGCTAGATTTATACCTGGAATGAGAGGATTGTCTTATGAAGTAAGATTGAACAGGCTGTGCTTTTTTTTCACTGGAGTTTACAAGAGTGAGAGGTGATTTGATTAAACATCAGAAGATCCTGAATGGACTTGACAAGTTGGATACTGAAAGGATAATTCACCTTATGGAAGAGTCCAGAACCTGGGGGCACTGTTCTAAAGTTAGGGGCCTTCCTTTTAGGATAGAGATGGGAGGATTTTTTTTGGCTGAAGTAGAGAGGAACTTTGTCAGATATGGCCGTAACTACTTTTCTTTCTCACTAGGTCTCTCATCCTCTTCACACTCATGACCTAAATTGCAGATGAGACTATCTCTGACCATTGCTCACTTCCCTCACCACTCAGAATTTCAGCTTCCCAGTGATAGCCATTATGACACCTCTGGCACTGCCAGTTTGCTCAATTGCGTTATTATTCTATATTTTGAACATCCTTGTCTCAGCTGAGTTGCATTTATGGCTTTAGACTTGTGAAAAACACACTTGAAACAGAACTGACCTCTTCATTTATTATTGAATTTGACTCCATCATAATGAGTACAACCATGCATGGAGATCTGAAAATATTCAGAACTCTTGGTAGGTCAAGAAACATCTGTTGAGAGATGATGATAGAATTTAAGTTTCTGCTGTATGACCATTCATCAGAACTCTCTGACAAAACCCCATCAATCAGAAACGTCCATTGTTGCTGCCTGTGCTGCTGAGATTTTCTAATGTTTTCTATTCTTAATTAGTTATCTTAAAGTGGTTGATGAGGTCTTCAGTATTTTAACACAAGACCATGCAATCTTTGGTCTTTGAAGATGCTTTCAAGTAAACCTTGATTTCAGGTCCTGGAATGGTAAAGCAAGTTTCCTGAATGAAAATAAGCTGCTGCTAATAAGGCAGAATGGTATTGAAAGATTCAGATATTTTATTGTTGTGACCTAACCATTCAGAATGGAACAAAAACTGAGAAGAGTAAAGAATTAAAGAAAAATGCTGTGTGAGACACTGCATATTGTTTCCAATGATAGACAACTTGGAATCTTGTGCCAATGCTGTACCCTGTTGCCGGATTGAGGAAGGCATACAAATGATTGATGCTGTGGATACACACCCCAGGCTTAAGGTGGAACCTACTGTATGCTGTATTATTTTTGTGCTATTTTCTAGGATTAATTTTAATTGACCAGATAATCCTCTAGTTGTCCATGTAGGATGATTTAATTCCTCTGGGATTTTCTTTTGAAGACAATTAATTAAGTAATGTCATGAATTAAATGAAAACCTTTGCTATTTGGTATCTGATGTTGCCTTTTTTCAAGCATCTACAATATAACTGTGTTCATTTTTAAATGACTAGCTAAAAATCAAGTACAAAAAGAGAAGTTGCTGGAAAAGCTGAGCAGGTCTGGCAGCATCTGTGAAGAAAAAAATCAGCAACTTCTGTTTTTGTGCCTGATTTACAGCATCCGCAGTTCTTTCAATTTTTAAAAAATCAAGTACATTATGTGACTTGGAGGAGATTCTTTGGATGTTAACAGAACATTTTCTTCTCTTTTCAATGGTACTCTTACGGAATGAAAGCCAAAACTTAAATCCATTTAAATTCCATCACACAGTTTTTCTCATTCCTCCTTTTGTTTTAGCAATTGACTCTGCTTTGGACTATTTTCATTATCAAACACATTTTGGTTTTTATCCTATAAGCATTCCTTGAAAGTTTTGACCATTTAACGTATTACTTTTCTTTCCTTAGACACAAAATCGGATGAAACTTATGGCAGATAATTACGATGATGATCACCATCACCACCATCACCATCACCACCATCACCATCGCTCACCAGCAAGATCACAGCATAGTAACCATCGACCCTCTCCTGATCAGGTGAGTTTTCACCAGCTTGCCTATAAACAGTCATGATGTTCTGTTGGGTCACTTGGTAATGACTGCGTGGCAAATTCTATTTTGCATCCATGACAAATTAGAAAGGGTACTGCCAGTCACTGATGATACAAGCTCAAATTTCATCATAAGTGCTTTCTAGCTCAGTCAACAAGGCAAATTTGTTAGAACAACTGAAAGTGCTTGCTGTCTGTACTCATTCATCATCTGAATTGTAATGTTAATTAAGTTTGAGTAAGGCGAAAGCTTAATTTTTTGTGAATAATGGTATTAATGTTGTGTGCATGCATTGTTACATACATTGTGTTCCTACTTTAACCTTTTCAAAATTTTCTATTATTCACAGCAAGATCCAAAGAGATTTTTACAGTTTTGGATATATTCAGAACCAAAATGAATCAAGTTAGGCATTCCCAGTTTACTATGGAATAACGTATTGAAGGTCTATTCCCTTATCCTAATAAACCAGAAAGTAATTACTGTGTGTTACATGATGGGATTATAAACACCTACTGTTTTATCACAATGCTTCAAAGATTGTTTTTTCAGGCAAAAGGTTGCACAACACATTCCACATTAATACAGATCTAAATAGTTTATTCATTTCAGTGATCTGTTCTTTAAGAATTTGAAATGTTTCTATTACCTTGTGGAAATGTCTTGTCATCTGAGTTTATCTCTTTTATAGATGTGTTTGCTGTAGCTAAAGATATTGTGATGGATTATCTTCATTGCTACTTGGTAGTGAAGACAAGAATTCAAGATTATTCTGTAACTTCAGTTCAAGTATTACTCAGAAGCTGGAGTTATACTTTTCGTGAAAACACCTTTAACACAAGTTTCACTGAGGAATATTTGTGCAGTATTCAATGTAGTCAGTGAGATGTATGCTGATTGATAGGAAGTGTTTTTGGTGATATATCATTGTTTATGCGAGCTAGTCATATGATGCTTATACGGTCTCAAGTCCAACTCATATGAAGGAGTCCCTTCAAGTCTAAGTAGTCTCAAGACCTGAGAATACCAGCTACAATGTAAAGTCGAACTGGCTCTCCTAAATGAACTCAATTTTTCAGTCTGCCTGACCAAGGCTGGTGTCAGGGCACAGCAAGAGGGATGGTGGACATTGATGATTCCTGGATAACACAGTATGGAGCTGGAGGAAGGGCCTCAACCTGAAACATCAACTTTACTGCTCTTCTGATGCTGCTTGGCCTGCTGTCCTTCTCTAGCTCCACACTATGTTATTTCTGTCTCCAGCATCGGCAGTTCTACCTCTTTCTCATTGATGATACCTAGCCTAGAATTTTGTATCCTACTTTAGTTTCTCCTCTCTTACGTGGGACCTTATCGAGAGACTTCTGAAAGACCGAATAAACCACACCCACTGGCTCCCTCTTAACAACTCTACAAAAAAATTCTCCAGTTGATTTGTCAAGCATGAGTTCCCTTTCATAAACTCTGTGTTTGTTTTCCATGTGCTCTAGTATTAAATCTTTTATAATGGTCTCTAGCATTTTCCTTCCAACCATGGTGAGCTTTGACTAATTCTCTGAATTGTTTTTTCAGGTCTTCGGATTACTAATTAAGTAATATATCTTCTTCTACAGGTGTCCATTTTTTTCAGATTTCTGTGTTAAAGGTGTGATGTAAATGAAGGTTAATTTTGAAAAACAGCCAAATTTGAATTCAAAATAACCACCCTTCGAAATGTTTGAATGAGGTGATGTTAATGTAATCGTTTCACAATGTCTCAATGCCCTTTGGGAAGGAGAGTAGCTTCATTAAAGACAGATTCCAAAGATCGTGGAATCAGAATTAACCATTTCAAAAATACATACAGACGAAAGATTTTATACTGGTTTACGTCTACAATTTGAACATGGGTAACAAATGGAGCTAGAATATTTTGAGCTGGCATTATTACCTTGATTTGTACATTAATGTGAGGTGCTTTCAATTGAGTTTAAACCAAAAAATTGCAGTGCTAAGTTAGGAGTCATTTTCCAGTCAGATTCCCAAATGCACTAAATCAGTAGATGTCAAACCCTCATTTTAGGATGTCCCATGCCAGTTGGGAAGAATGTTGAATAACTCCAGTCCAATGCAACACCATATTTTAACATTGTACAGGTCTGTGGAACCTCCCTTGAACTTTGTAAACTTGGTATTGAATACTTTTACCCATACTGTGATAACATAGGAAATTAGCTGCCCCATGAACAAAGAGCTGTGTAAATCGAAGTGGGCAGACGCAGAACTCAATGTGACCTGTAATGTGGCTCTGCTGGCTGAACATCGCACTGTACAGATTCTGGTATGATTACTTTGTGATTATCTTTCATGTCTGAGCACTAGATGTTAGTGATTGTGTGTGTGGACACCCAAATCCTTTTGCTCTTTTACAGTTCATAGTCCCTCACCATTAAGAAAAATTCAAGCGTAACATTTAATGGCAAACGGGTTACTTGTTTATCAGCAGTCACATTAATTCAAACTGTTAAGTGCCGCATATTTTGTTTCTTTAATGAAGGCATGTCTTCTCCTGCCTCCACCACTGCCTCACTGGGGAAAAGAAACTGACAAATGATTGGAGAAATCATACAATCATCAATGTATCTCAAAATATTCATTTAAACTGTAGATATTATTGTGCACTCAAAGGATCTTACTTTGTAGGATCAGTTTCCATTTCTTTGTAACTATAAGACCTTTTTGCCATAAAATTATTGCAAAATTATACAGCATGTGTGGTATTTTTAAATGTGCATTTTGTGTTAATTTACATGACGTATAGTATCAAATATGTTTAATGCTAAAATATACAGACATTTATGAAATAACACAATTTGATACTATATGCCAAGTAAATTATCCACCTTATTCAAATCTCAAAAATACGTTGTTTAGTACACTTTATTTCAGCTAATGAATAATGTATAAATATCTAACCATTACAGAAAATTACAATTGGTTTAAAAATTTTAATTATTCTGTTTAAGTGGTTAGATTTATTTTTCCCTACTTCCATCACCGTATTCCCTTTAAGAGCATCTTTATTAAGGATCAGCACAAGATGGATGGGCTCTTGAGGAAATTCTCTAAACACATCCTGACAGTACTGATTTATTTAGGAAATATATAAATTTGAAGATCAGTTGAGCACAATACAAAAACAAGGCAGTTCCAATGGGTGACTCTAATTATTGCATTGACTGAGAGAAAACAAAACTCATATAGTATAGATACTAAATTTCTAGAAAGTATTTGTGACAGCTATTCAGAAAAGTATGTTAACAAATCATTTTCCTCAAACTGCTAGTGAAATTGCATCCTTTCTTAGGTAAGGAGACCAGAATTGTATACGCTGCTTCAGATGTAGTCATGTACAACTGTAACAAAATTTATTTTTGAGTAGAATTTGTTAACTACCTGACAGTAAGGGAAGCTTCTGTGAATAGTGATCATTATATGATTAATTTTGAAACTTGTTCGTGGATGTTAATGGGGATGATGGAGAATGTCAATTTAAGGTTTTAAATCTAAATAAGGCAAATGGAAGCATGAGAAATTAATTGGAGAAATAAATCAGTCTGAACTGAGGGGTGGCATTGTGGCTCAGTGGTTAGCACTGCTGCCTCACAGTGCCAGGGACCCGGGTTCAATCCCAGCTTCGGGTGACTGTGTGGAGTTTGCAGATTCTCCCTGTGTCTGCATGGGCTTCCTCTGGGTTTCCTCCCACAGTCCAAAGATGTGCAGGTTAGGTGGAGTGGCCATGCTAAATTGCCTGTAGTGTTCAGGGATGTGTAGATTAGGTGAGTTATAGGGGGATGGGTCTGGGCAGGATGCTCCAAGGGCCCGTGTGGACTTGTTGGGCCGAAGGGCCTGTTTCCATACTTGTAGGGATTCTATGATGATGAGGTAAATGTACATATTACAGAGAAACATTCAAGGAAGGTTTTGGCAGACTATTTAAAACTTACACAACCCCTAAAAGGCAAACAATCTACTTTTGTAGTTAAGTAACCATCATCCATGAAAATGGAAAGGAATCAGTATTAAGCTAAAAGAAACAGCTAATGCAAATGTAAGAAAGGACAATCCAGTGTCGTGTGAGAGCTATAAATAGTTATGATGGATACAAAGAAATAATAAAAGCAAAGTAACAACAAATATTTTATTGACCTATTAAGAGAAAACGAGTGGTAAAGGGGAATATAGAGTCACAGAGTCATACAACACGTAAACAGCCCCTTCAATCCAACTTGTCCATGCCGACCAGGTTTCCTAAACTAAACTAGTCCCATTCGCCTGCATTTGGCCCATATGCCTCTAAACCTTTCCTAGTCATTAACCTGTCCAAATCTCTTAAATGTTGTAACTGTACCTGCATCAGCCATTTCCGCTGGCAGTTCATTCCATATATGCACCTCTGTGTGAAAACGTTCCCTATCTGGTCTTTTGTAAATCTTTCCCCTCTCATTTTGCTGTCTATGACCTCTAGTTTTGAATTCCCCCACCCTAGAGAAAAGACCTTTGCAATTCACCATATCTGTGCTCCTCGTGATTTTATGAACCTGTATAAAAGGTCACCCCTCAACCTCCTATGCACCAGGGAAGAAGTCCCAGCCTATTCAGCTTCTCCTTATAACTCACACATTGTAGCCTCGGTAACATCCTTGTAAATATTTTCTGCACCCTTTACAATTTAATAATATCTTTCCTATAGCAGGATGACTAGAACTAGACAGAGTAATCTAAACAGTGGCCTCACTAATGTCCTGTACAGCTGCAACATGATGTCCCAACTCTTATATTGAGTGCTTTGATCAATGAAGGCAAGTGTGCCAAATGCTGCCTTCTCAACCCTGTTCTACCCTGTGATGCCACTTTCAACGAAATATGCACATGAACCCCTAGATCTCTCTATTCGATAACACTGCCCAAGGCCCTACCATAAACTATGTAACTCCTGCTCTGGTTTGTCTTACCAAAATGGAACACCTCGCAATTACCTAAATTGCCATCTGCCACTCCTTGGCCCATTAGCCCAGCTGATCAAGATCCCATTGTACTCTTAAATAACCATGTTCACTGTCCACTGTACCACTAATTTTGGGGTCATCCACAAATTGACTAACCATACTTCCAATGATCTCATCCAAATGATTTATATAAATGACAAACAACATTGGACCCTTCACTGAACCTGCTGGTCACAGACCTCCAGTCCAAAATAAACAATCATCCACCACCTTCTGTCTTCTACCATCAAGGTAATTTTGTATCCAATTGAATAGCTCTCTCTTGATTCACCAACCAATCTACCATATGGAATCCTTATTAAAGGCCTTGCCTTAGTCCATGTAGACAAAATCTATCGCTCTACCCTCATTTATTTTCCTGGTCATGTCCTCAAAAAACAGAGTTAAGTTTGTAAGACATGATTTTGCATGCACAAAGCCATGCTGACTACCCCTAATCAGTCTTTGCCTCTCCAAATGCACGTAAATCCTATCACTCAGAGTCCCCTCTAACAACTTACCCACCACTGATGTCAGACTCACTGGTCTGTAGTTCCTGGCACTTTAATCAACCAGAAACCAACTGTAGAATGTTACAGCACAGAAGAAAACTATTTAGCTGTTCGAAAGAGCTGTCCAATTTAATCTCACATCTCTACTGTTTCCCAGTCCTCATCAAATTGATCCTCTTCAAGTACATGTTCAGTTGCCTCTTGAAATTTCCTGTACAATCTGGTTCTATCACCCTGTCAAATCTTAACTCCCCTCCATTAAAAAAAATCCTGATTTTCCCTTGTGCTCTTTTGACAACTATTTTAAACCTGTGACCCCTTGGTACTGACCCACTAGGCAGAAGAAACAATCCCTCCCACTTGCTGTCTAAACCGACTATAATTTTAAACTTAATTTTAAATTTCATAATTTGATTTTGTTGTAATCTTCTATGTTCTAAAGAGAACAATCTGAGCATCTTAATCTCTCATGAAATTGAAGTTCCTTATTCCTGTTATCATCCTTGTAAGCCTTATTGATACCCTCTTCAAGGTTCTGACATGCTTCATAAAATGTGGATCCAGAAATATACTTAACTCCAGGTGAGGCCTAACCCATTTGCTTACCATGACTTCCTTGTTTTGAATTTATGCTTTCTTAAAAGAGTTAAAAATCTATCCTACATTCTCAATGGATTGAATGGCTTACTGCTGCTTTTATATTCCGATGCTTTTTGAACCATTACAGCAGTTTGCTCTGTCATCATCAAATAATAGGCAATTCCAAATCCTCTGCTCTTGTAGATATTTTTAATCAACCTGTTCAGCTGCCTTCTGAGGCATCTCTTGACCAGTCATTACCTGAACACAGGCCTTTTAGTCCAAAGGTAGGGACACTACCACTACACCACAGAAACCCTCCTCCTCTTTGTATCCTGTTCATAGTAATACAGTTCAGATTACGTTGTCTTTGTCTTGTTATCCAAAGTGCATTATGTCATACATGTCAACATTAAATCGTATCTGCCATTAGTCTGTCTGTATCACCAGTCTGTCCTCCTGAAATGTGCAGTTGTTCCCCTCGCTATTTATTATGTTGTCAAGCTTTATTTCACTCTAAAACTTTAAAATGTAGGTCCAGGTGATGTATTGTGTAGCTGGAGAAACACAGCAGGTCATGCAGCATCAGAGAAGAAGGAAAGTCGACGTTTCAGGTTTACACCATTCATTAATGAGTCCTGATGAAGGGTGTAAACCCGAAACATTGACCTTCCTGCTCCTCTGATGCTGCCTGACCTGCTGTGTTCCACCAGCTACACATTGTATTGACTCTGACTCCAGCATCTGCAGTTCTTGCTATCTCCAAGTGATACATATCAAGAAAAGTAATCTCTGTCAGACCCCAGAACAAATGCCTTTCCAATCAGAAATATAACTGTTCACCCATACTTTCAGTGTACTATCCCTTATCCAGCTATAAGTACCCATTATGGCCATCTCCTTAATCCCAAATAAGAGACATGTGTGGGACTTTATCAAATACCTTTTGATCATCAGATCGTTTGGGAAGCATGAGTTTGTATAGTAAGATTTTTCTGGTAGACTGTCAGCTTCTTCTAATTTTTAATAGGGATGACATTTGCATTAAAATTTCTTTTGTCTTAAGTCTTTTAAGCTGCCTTCTCAAAGATTGATGCATCAATTGTAGAATATTTGCAGAAAGAAGTGATTTGAAATATTTCAATTACAAACAAGTTCAAAATGAAAAGGCTAAAATATCAGAGAAGTATCACAAACCTCTGTTTAAAAGAATAATAAGATATTTCCTGAGTCATATTGTTTCCTCCAGTCTTCAGAATGATGGCAGGGCAAATTTTTGAGACAATTTTTGGGCATCCTTAGTAATTGCAGCATTACTTCATTTAATATTTGGAAATAAAAGTAGGTTCTGACTTGTAATCACCAAAGCCAAGAGAAAGAAGATCTCTTGCGATTTCTGATTAGAGATTAAAGCAAACTGATCTGAGGCTGCAACAAGGTAGGCATTAGCGTGTGAAATGGGCAATACTTGCTTCATCAGAAGCAAGTGATTAACTTACCAATCTATTCTAATTGGTAAATATAGTTCATTGCAGTCGGTGTTCATGAGGACATCCAGCTGGATAATCTATTTCTTAATAATGCTATGATTATGTTTGTACATGTTTATCTTGGTGGAATACCTTGAAGTGCCAAAGTTTTCATCATCTACAGTTTATGACAACAATTTGACATAACTGTTTTTGAATCTGTTAAGTTGCATATTCAATTTGATTTCTCCATTCTTGCAATGATATAACCAATTCATGCCTAAAGCTTCATTTGAGTTTTTGGGTGCCTTTCTTATCTCATTCACCTTTGACCCAAATGACAACACAACTATCTAAATTTTCAAAATGCAAAATGTGTTTGTTATAAATAATAAAAACAAAATGCTGGAGAAACTCAGCAGGTCTGGCACCATCTGCAGAGACAGAAAAACAGCTAATGTTTCGAGTCTCAAGACTGTGTCAGAGTGAATAAGATTGGTGTGTCTATTTTGTTTTTTAAGACACTGTTACAACATGTTAGTTAATTATAACATTTTTTGCTATGTTGAATTTTGCCTAAACAAGATGACCGTAATCTCTTTTATTAAGAAACAAGTTATGTCTATGAGAAATTAAGGGATATGACCTTTATTTTACAGGGATATGATTCAATCCGTACTGTTCCCCTATAATTACCTAATTGATTGTGTGTGCTCATTTCTAACTTTGATAACTTATTTGCTTTAAACAGGTAAACACTAGAGTTTTATAAAGGAATGTAGTAAAAATCCAGCCTGGCCAGAATGTACATCAATATGTGCATCTGTCCAGATTGCTTAATTTAAACTCTGGCTCAAAGATGTGGTTGTAGCTGAACTTTGAGTCCTTAAACCTGGGATGACCAATATCAGCTACTAATTGGTGTCCTGCAAAAAAAATCTTGAAATCTATCTTTCACGTTTATCGCCAAGCATGCTTCAATAGATGTTGAAATCCATTCTGACTTGCAGTTTGTTTTCATGATTCTAAAGAAATTATACCAAAAACCTGAAAATTAAATTTCACAATTTTTTTAATTGAACAGCTTGTGGAAAATATTTGAAAGCATCATGAACGTGCACAGTCTAACCTATACTGTTATGCAGAATTTGTTTATTATAAAATGTATAGAGATTATAAAATAGCCAAGAAGTAGCCTTAAAATTCTAAATACTTGCACCTCTATAAAATGGATTCTGGTTACTCTTTGCTTGTTTTGGCTTTGGCTTCTGTTTTGTAGGTTCCGTTGGGGACAATCTGTATGTTTGTTTGTCTTTGTACTGAAGCTGCTGGCTGTTTATTTTGAACAAACTCACATTTCTACCAACAGAGATAAAAATGTTCTAATGCACCAAACTGACTAACCCTTTCTTTGTTTCATTCCAATGCTGCCATGCATGTCCTCAAACAAATCGACCAATAGGATGATGAGGAGGGCATATGGGCGTAACAGTACACATGAACCAAAGCTACAGTTTTGTTCTGAGGGGTGAGAGCATGGATTTTCTCTTCTCAGATCATATTGCACTGGATGCTGTAATGCTCAAATGTTCTGCTGTTTGTGCAGTATTTCTTTGTGTGTGTTCTACTATTTGTTGTTCCTGTGTCATTGCTTCTCTTTCTCTGTCGACATTGCCTTTGATAGAAATATCAATTAGAAATTGATATTGTAGCAGAGCAGGTGAGAAATTATTCATACCAGTCGTTCTGGAGATGTGAAAAAACACTTAAGGCCTTGGCAGCAACAATTAAATTCCACACTAATATGTACACATTCTACTGAAGATATATATCATTTACTATTAGGCATGTAAGTTATTACTTGTTAGCTTTGTAATGCTAATAACTTAGTCAACAAAGTTACATTGCTATTGAAATCAAGGATTGAACTCTTAGCCAGTTTTCACTGAGGAAATGTGTAAAAACAGGTTTGGAAGAATGAAGTGAAGGTCAAGGAAGGAAAATTGGACTTAAATTTTAAATTCTAGTTTATTACGACTCAACTTCATCAAGTAGGTTCCCACGTGACCTTTTACCCTAACCTGATCAAGTCATGGATAATTTACTTCGAGGACTTGTGCCCAGATACTTGCTTTAGTTCTTGATCAGCAGAGGCCATATTAAGATATTGTGTTAACATAGCAGATTTTCCATAATGTTGTTTATAAGGCAGATACTGAAGGTAGTTATTTTTACAATTCCTGTGAAATTATGTAATGTGTCAAGATATCTGCACTTCTCAAAATAGTGATCTACTAAATCAAGAAAGCTGATGTTCTCATCGCTTTTAAATATGTGTTCAAAAACTAATTCATATCATTCCCTAACGGATTCTATACTGGAATACAAATTAAATATAACTCGAAAAATGCTTCTGCCCAACAAAACCCGAATAGTTGAATAAAGTAGCATGACAGTGGTGTGAGCCACTTATGACTAATTTATAATTGGTACACACAAAAATAAAGATTGCACTATAGCAAAAATCACTAACTAGTTCTAGTTTCCTGTGTCTTTGCGATTGAATGAAAGGAAATGCAAATAAAGAATCAAGATTAGTGTAGATACCTGTCTCTGAACCTTGCAAGAATTTTGATATAAATTTATTTTGACAGCTTTATGATGCATATTGAGAAATTTTTATGGTCTGTGAAACTAGAGATTCTTATAGAGACTCATTTTGAATCCGTGTACCATCTTGGTGTTGTACAGTCGCAATCTCATCCGATTTGGAACTTTTACATAGTTCTCGAGTTATCATTTAGAGTTTTGTGGAATTGTTTTTCTTACATCATGTGACCAAAAATAATTTTGCTAGTTGGGAATGAGTCTGTTTCAAGCTTGCCATTTGATACAAGGAGATTTGTAAATTTTCATTCGGAAATAAAAGGGGTTTTGAACACTGATTGCATCACTTGAACATTGTAAATATGGATGCTGGTAGGTGTTTTACTGCATTTGAAATGTACTTCATAGTTCAGTCTCTCTCATTCTTCTATCTGCTGAATCAATATTAACTAGTTCTTTTTAGAGTGCAGGGCACCTGATAGAAGACAGCAAGGCCTTTTGATAAATATTGTTATGATAGAGACTGTAGAAAGTGATAACTTGAAAAATGGTACTTGAATTTCCTGTGACTGACTGGAAAGATCACATGATAAGATTCCAAGTGTTAAATCTTTGACTGTATTGAAAAAACTTCAAGCAAAATTATCTGAACATTATTCACTTGACAACTTATACTCCATAAACTACAGGTGAAATGGCCCATTTAAGCTTTAAAATGATTGAAAGCTTTGTTTCTGCACTTGTACTTACTCGTCTCTGAATTGGGTACTTAATTCTCCAGAAACTAGCCCAAAGTTGTTCTCATCTCCTGATGGCTTATTCTTTTTCAGTTTTCCAGACAGAAACTTCAAGCCCCTGAACTTGCTTTCACCACGAAGGTTACCTTTGAGTTCTTCTCCCTAAGCAAATCTTCCAACCTTGCTTAAACCATCACAAATTTGGTTTTCTTAATCTGAGCATGAGCTCAGTCTTCTGTTGATGAACAATACAGACGAGCTGTCTCTATCTCGCTGCACTTTCTCCCTCTCTTTACATACAAACACACAAATTAGGAGCAGAAGTAGGCTATTCGGCCCCTCAAGTCTGCTCCGCCATTCAGTAAGACAGTGCCTGATTTGCTTGTGTTTCGAATTCCACTCCTGATAACCTTTGATTTCATTACCTAAAAAAATCTATTTACCTCCACTTTAGAAATATTAAATCATCCCTTCTCCAGCAGCTTCTGAGACAGTGTTCCAAACTCTCCTCATCTATACCCTAAAAAGGTGATCCCCTAATTTTAAACAGTACCTCCTAGATCTGGATTCACCCACAAGATGTAACATAATTTCCACATTCAGCGTGTCAAGACCTTTTAGGACCTTTAACTGCTTAAATTAAGTCACTCCTCACACTCCTACATTCCAGTGGAAACAAGCTCAATCTGTCTAACCTTTCACAAAAGACAGTATCAATCTCGGAAACCTCTAACCCCCTCTAAAGCCTTCACCACCTCCTTTAAATAAGGTGACCAAAACTGCACAAATTTGTGCATAATTGCATAACTGCATAATTATGATCCACTGCAGTCTTAATTCAAAGATATCTGATATCAGGCTAAGTAGATTGAGGAGTGCAATAACCCAAGAAAGGTATTATTTTCAAAAACAACTTTCCCTGTGGACTGTCAAGAGCAGGAGCACTGCTCTGGGCTCCACAAGATAATCTTTGTTTTACCCTGCTTCCGGCTTTTATTCTCTGCTCAAGCACTATGCTTAGAGTTGGAGACCATTTGATTGGTCTCCAATCACAGCCTTTGCTGCCTCTTAAACTCCATGCCCACCTATCAATAACATTATTTATCCCACCGAATTCGCATGGGAGTTGACTCCAATGGCAAGCTGAGGCCTGGTAGTTAAAATCTCTGTTGTCACACTCCTGAATGCTGAATGACTTCACTCCATCTTGGCTCCTAGGCACATCAGTCCCATTTCTCTTTAATTATCAACTTGTATTGTCCTTGATTTTATATTCTTTCCATGTCATTATCCTGTTGATTTTTTTTAGTACAAGAGAGAAACTTCCACACAATCAGTGTAATTTATAGTTTTGTGCCACTGACAAGGAATTGTTGAATTGTATTGATAGTTTAGCAATTATGTTGAATACTTTTGAACAATTTATGGATTATCAACAATTGCATAACTCTACAGGCTCTTTCCTGCAATTGATAAATGATGTTTTCAGAACTGTTTAAATCATTCATTTTTAAGGTAAGCAAAGCAATGGGTAATGCAATCATCTTCAGTATATCATCAACCCTTAGGAGAGTGATGCAGAAGTTTTCAAAGACAAGAGACTAGAGCTTCTAGACTTTAATTCTGTTAATACTGCTTTATTCTACTGCATAAAGCAGGCTAGCAAGAAGCATTATCCTCGTCATTGTGATCTAAACTTTTCCTGGTTTCTGCATCATAGCACTTCTGAATCAAGCTAAAATTACTTTTTTTTGAAAGAAGAATGCTCGTCTTCATTATTTCAAGAGTTCCTCTTGTTTCATCAGAATGAGGAAATAACTGCTTGGACCAGTGATGAAACTAACCTTTGAAATTAAATGCATTGTCTAATTGCAGTTGCCAAGGTGCCTAATCCTGATTTGAAGACCAATGTGTGTCAACCTTGGTAAGACTATTGAGCTGGATTCCTTAGGACACATATCAGAGCTATTGTCATGGCTCCAAAATTCTACATCTGCCAAATTGCTCAGATAGGATTTTGCTAATCAATAGTAATGGACTTGACGTATTTAGAGTTTTTATTGCTCTTGCTGCCTGACTGGAAATTTAAGAGAGATTAATTCCTTTACTTGTGAATTTACAAGCTTGCAAGTCGAGTCAATTATGTGATTCTGTTTTCGGAAATCAAGTTGTACCAGGTGCTACTGTCTGTCTTGTCTGAAACTTGCCAGGTTTCTGTCTTGGAAAGAGCCGATGTATTGACAAGTACAAACATGGTTGTTAGTAAGTTCATTGGTGTGACTAAATATGAAATCATAAGTTTGACATTTATTGGTATTAATGCTAATGTCAACATTAGTGATTGATATGAGAGCATGTGTCGTGACTTAACTCCAACTGCAAATGCATGAAAACCACAAGCCTCTTTACTGTTGAGACTATTAGTTAGATCAGTGGTGCTGCTCCACAACACAGCTGCCTCCTAAATATTGACTGACTTTAATTGATTTCCTCTCCATGGATAACGTGGCACTTCCTTTCAAGGCATCATCATTACCTCCTTTCTCAAAAAAATACTCCTGTATTGCATATTACCATCACATTTCCAATCTCTGTTCCTCATAAAACCTCTTGTATTGTCACCTCTCTAAATGTAACATGCTGTTTAGATCTCTCAAATCAGGTTTAAGCCATTGCCACATCATCAGAAAGATCCTTAACCAAGCTCACAAGTGACAGCCACTGTGAGTTTTTCCAGCATTCTGTTTGTTTGACATTCACAGTGAATAAGGTGCGTTTTCTCTCCTAGTTCTAGTCTTATCTAGAGTAAGTCCTGAGCTGAGCTTCTGATCCCAAACCCTATAAGGTAAGTTGGTTGGAAGACTTATTACGATGATATTGTGGTGAATCATACCAACTTTCCATCACCTTCCTGTTCTATACTATAGAGCGACTTTTTCCACAATCCTTAAGAACATCCAGATGGCTGTCTTCAGTAGCATACTAAGCAATTTTACTTGTTCATTATTTCATAAAAGAACAAGTGAATGTATATTTGTTTGGTTCAGTTTGAGATTGGGTAGTTCAGCCAACTTGTTTATGTCATCTGGAAGGACACAATGCATTCATTGCTGCTGACATTGTTTAGAAAGCAAAAACCATTGTTCAAGAATGGAAGCTAAATACCATTCCATGCCATGGCCAGGAAG